GGACCGCGCGGCCGTCCCGCGCCTCCACGGCGAAGCGGATCTCGCGCACCTGCTCGTAGTCCAGGGCGCGCAGCGCATGCACCGCGCCGCTCTCCGCCTGCACCGACAGCCACGACGACAGCGGCGCGCCCTGCAGCTCGCCCTCCGCCAGCCAGTACGTCACCCGGGCGTTGTCGCCCCAGTCCGCGTCGGCCGCCCGCGCGCAGAACACCGAGGCGCCGCGGGCGTTGTTCTCGCTCACCCACACGCTGTAGGCCGCCTGGCTGAAGGCCGGCGCGTTGTCGTTCACGTCCGACACCTGCACCGCGATCGTCGTGGCGGACCACAGCGGCGGCGCCCCGCGGTCCCGGGCCGTGACCGTCACGTTGTAATCCGCCACCTGCTCCCGGTCCAGGTCTCTGGCCGTCACTAAAGTGTAATATGTATCCAAGGATTTCTGCAGCCGGAAAGGGACGTGGTCCGGGATGGTGCATGTGACGGCGCCGTTCTCTCCGGCGTCCTGGTCCTGCACGATCAAGAGGGCGATTACGGTTCCCGGCGGGGAGTCCTCGGGGACAGAGCTGAGCAGGGAGGTGATCCTGATCTCGGGGACGTTGTCGTTCACGTCGCTGACAGAGATCACGACCTTCGACCTGTCGAAGAGGCCTCCGCCGTCGTGCGCTTGCACCTCCATTTCGTACAAGGAGGCCTCCTCGAAGTCCAGGACCTTCACGACCATGACATCCCCCGTCCTGGAGTCCAGGTGGAAGACTTTGGACGCTTTCTCTGTTATTTTTCTGAAGGAGTATTTTAATTCTTTGTTAACGCCTTCGTCCAGATCCGTGGCTTGAACTGTCAGTATCGTGGAATCCCTCGGAACATTTTCGGAAACATCCACTCTGTAGACAGGCTGACTAAAAACCGGCGCGTTGTCGTTTGCATCGAGAACGATAATTCTGATATGTGCGGTGCCGGAGCGGACCGGATCTCCGCCGTCAGTGGCGGTGAGGACGAGGTCGTGAGTCGCCTGTTCTTCCCGGTCCAGAGCGCCTTCCAGCACCAGTTCTGCGTATTTATCTCCGTCAGATCCAGCCTGTACAGCTAAAGAGAAATGTTTATCATTGTTGAGCTGGTAGGTCTGAAGAGAATTAATCCCCAAATCTGGATCGTGAGCCTCATGAAGGGGAAACCGGGATCTCGGTGCTGTTGTCTCACTAACTTGAAACTCCACCTCCTCTTCCTGAAAGCTGGGAGCGTTGTCGTTTATGTCTCTGATTTCGACTTCCACTCCATACAGCTTCATGTCATGCTCCACTATAACCTCGCAGTTCAGCAGACACTTCTCTGCCCGGCCGCACAGCTGCTCCCTGTCTAGCCGCTCCGCCGTGATTAAATGGCCGCTCTTTACATTCAATGCGAAATACTGTGTCCTACCTCTGGAAATCACGCGCACGCCGCGCTCCGATAGCGCCTTGGCCTCCAGCCCCAGGTCCTGCGCGATGTTGCCCACGAAAGAGCCTTTCTGCATTTCCTCGGGGATCAAGTAGCGAATCTGCCCGGCCGCAGCGGCCCCGCACACGGCCAGCACCACGCAGCACAGCACGGCTCGACCTGCGCAGCGCCGCAGCCCTTGTGCTCCGGGACTGGCCAAGGCGACGGAGGATCCACTGCCTCTCCGCCGCCGAGCGCTGCTGCTTGGAGATGATCTTGTCCGATTGTTTCTGACAATATCAGGTGCTAGTTTTCCAGCCGATTTTCGCGAATAGCCTGCACCTACAGTCAGCTCTGAACGAGTGACAGTCTGAGCTATCTGTGCTGAGCTGTGCGGCGGCGGCGCTGGGCTGGCTGGATCTCTCGGCGCATTTCTCTCCCCGATTGGTGAACAGCGGCGCTCAGAGTCTTAACCAATAACTGCAGCAGCTCCGGGATGAAATTTTAGACCCATGTTGGTCATTGATTTTTCTAATTGTAAGTACGTCTCCTTCAGCTTTTCCTGGCATGTATGCGTTTTATATGTATGCCAGAGGAGTGAAGTACACTGCTGGGGTAATACGTAACCCCTTGTTTTGTTTAAGTAACTCTTCTATTTTTATGAAGGTTAATGAGCAGTCCAGAGCAGCGGGGCTGGATCCAGTGATCTCGCCAGGTCCCTTCCAGCCCTAAACTTCTGTGAATTCTGTGTATCTCTGAAGTACAGGCATCTAATGGTTCGTATATGTAACATACAATCAAGACTCTTATATAACTGGTGCAGGTGTTGTTATGTGTTTGCATCCAGGAGTCCATCTGAGCCTGCTTTTTAAATGCTATGTTGTAACATCGGCAGACAAGGTTCCTTGGGTGAATTTGATATCTTTTATTAGACCAACCCAAATAGTTGGAGAATAGTTATTAAGCAAGCTTTCGGGTTCAAAAACCCTTCGTCAGGCTAAGGAAGTTTCAGCAGTTTGTGTGTGCTCTTCCTGGATGGAATGAAAAGTAAAGAAGCCAGGGGCTGGGCTGGGGAGTCAGTTGCCAGGCAGATTATAATGTATCAAAAATCCAATGTCTATGTTTAGTCCATGATCTCTAGTATCCAGGAGGTTGATGAAATGGAGCTCATAGGCTCGTCTCTGGGAAGTGTTGTGTAAGTTTCCCTTGAGGATCAGGACTGAGAGATTGGAGAGAGAGCGGCCCTCCTGTGAGAAATGTGCCCCCACCGGTAATTGGGTATTTCTGTCTTTGATAGATTTCTGGTGTGTGTTCATTCTGGTGCGCAGTTGTTGTTTGCTCTCTCCTACGTATTTTCCATCAGGGCATTTGGTGCATTGGATGAGATATATTACATTTCTGGAGGTGCAGCTGTAAGATCCAGGAATGCTGATAGCTCTGTTGTGGGGTGTAGTAATAGTCGGGGTGGTGGAGATGTGTTGGCATGTTTTGCATTTCTTGTCATGGCACGGTCTGGATCCTTTTGGTGTGTTCTGGGCTTGAGGAAATTTGCTTCTGGTGGTGCTTGTTTGAAGGCTAGGATGGGTGGCTCTGGGAAGATCTTTTAAAGATGTTGTAACATCCTCTTTTATCAGCTCTACTCCGGTTTAGTAAGTCTGTAGCACGAAGTAACATTCTGTCTACATTTCAATGTGTCTGACTTGGTGAAATCTGTCACTAATTCATAATATTCCTTACCAGGTCAATGGATAAGATAGTAACAAAGGAAGATATATTGGTGTTATCTAGTATTAGGCACTGACAAATGGATGTTTGAAATAGTGTGTATTCTGTATATTTTCCATTTACCATCACTTTTATAGCATACAGTAAAATAGGAGGAAATGTGTGATGCATGCAGATAACTGAAAGCTTCACTGATTTCAGTCAGACTATGAGAGTCTCCAATACAAAGATGAAAACAAAAAAAGTGAGAAATAGAATTCGAAAAGTGAAAGGAAACTGCATCTTAGGTGTGAACAGATTCAAAGAGGCTTTGAGCACAGCAAGAGCAAGGTAGTTTTTGAGAAACTGAAAAAGATAAGCAAGATGTATCAAGCAAGAACAATTGCAATAGAAGGCAAAAATGGTGGCTTGCTTACTGAAAACAGTAATACAGCAATACACAAAAGATGGGTGGAATATGGAAAAGAACTGCATAATCACAATATCAAAAGAGATCTAGAAGTAGTAATGGAACTAGAGAAAGGACAACCTAGAAGTATAAAAGAAGATGATAACAGCTTAGACATCACAAGAGAAGAGTAGACAAAGCTAGCAGAAGCATGAAAAATGGAAAAGCCACTGACCTGGACAATATACCTGTAGAACTATTAAAAACCAGAAACAAGACAATTAAAATACTGTACAAAATCTGCAGTATGTTATAGAAAAGGAAAACCTCGCCAATGAGTGGACAAAATCAGTAATTATCCCTGTCCCAAAGAAGGGGAATCTACACCAGTGTACTAACTACTGTACCACTGGGCTCATTAGTCATCCAGGTAAGGTGCTTCTTAGAATAATACTAAATAGGCTCAAGCCACAAATAGAGACTGTATTAGCAGATGAACAACCTGGCTTGGGACTCGGAAGGAGTACCACCAAAAAGATCTTCAACCTACAAATTGTGTGTGAAAAGTACCCTGACCACCAAAAAAACTCCAACATAATTTCTTAGACTTTAAAAAAAGCTTTTGACAAGGTGCAGTGAAAAGCACATTGTCTGCCAATGAATAAGCATAACATCAGTCCCAGATTGATGTGTCTTACTGTATAGAAGAACTCTAGAACAATACAAATCATAGAACCATAGAAATTAAGGGCTTGGAAGGGATCTTTAAAGATCATCAAGTCCACCGCCCTCCTCGGCCCCCCCTCCCTCCCCTCCCGGGCAGGAATACTGCTGAGATCAAATGCTTCCAGAACGGTGTCTGTCTATTCTCCTTTTGAAGACTTCCAAAGTTGGGGACTCCACCGTCTCCCTTGGAAGTCTATTCCAGGTTGGGGTCACCCTTACCATAAAGAACTTCTTCCTTACATCCAGCCTGAAACCATCCTCTAACAGTTTATAGTCATTGCTTCTTGTCTTCCCTAGTAAGCAGTTTTTGTCCCTGCTCCTTATATTCACCACTTAAGATGGCCACAAAGTCCTGCCTCAGTCTTTTCTTCTCCAGGCTGAACAGTCTCAGATCCCTTAGTCTTTCCTCATAAGCTTTGTCTTCCACGCTCTTAATCATTCTTGTGGCCCTTCTCTGGACCCTTTCAAGATTTTCCACATCTTTCTTTTGAAGTGCAGCACCCAGAACTGGACACAATACCTAGCTCAGGTCTCATCAGCACCAAGTAGACAGCAAGTATCACTTCCTTAGCCCTGCTTGTGACAGATTGGCTAGTACATCTCAGTATGCTAATAGCTCTGTTGACTACAGCATCACACTGGTGGCTCATGTTCACTCTCTGGTGAGCCATAACCTTGAGGTTTCTTTCAGCCATTGTGGTGGCCAGGACATCTCCTCCTAACCTATATTCATGTAGCTGGTTACTTTGCCCCAGATGAAGCACTTTGTAACAGCCAGAACCAGAGGGATTAATAAGCAATACATATGTGCTTCTTGGAGGCATTTGGTATTTTGCCTAAGCAGGTAATATTAGTTAATATAAGGCTTGTAAGTTTGTAAACTGCCAATGTAACTTGTCTGTCATGAGTTTAACCAAAATGATTAAATTAACTGTTCATGGAACTGACTGGGCCCCATAGGCAAAGCTGTAGCTGTAAGATTAGGAGAACCAATGTTTTCTTGCTCAGGGTTCAGCCTTGATGATAAAACTGGACCTAACTGCCTGGCACACCCAACACATTCCAGGAAAGCAAGTCCCAAGAAAGCATATTCAAATGAAACCTAAAAGAGGTTGGAGCTTAGGCGGAGCAATGTCAATTTCAAACCTAAAGGTGCTGCATCATAATTTGCTTAATGGATAAACCCAAGTCTGGGTAGTAACCTTTTATGATAATTGTTAATACCTTTCAATCCCATAGGGTAAAAGCTATAGGGCAACATTGTGAGTGGCTCTGAAGCCAACACATTAGCATAAGACTAGGTATAAAAAGCACATGCATCAGGTAACCAAAAGGAAGGAGGGAACAGAACGGTCATTTCTGTTCCACGCCCGGACCCCAGACTCCTGGTGTGAGTGAGGATCAGATCCTGATCAAGGCATCTTCCCTGTTAACCCTCTGACAGCGTCGATCGGGGACGCCTGACTTCACTGGAATCACTTGACGCGTACCTGGCATTGAGGGACTATCAATAAGTTGCCAACCCATGTCTGTCTATCTGTTGTGTTGAACAGCCCAGTGGCTAATACCCTTGCAGTGCCCAGTTGGCTTGCAACAGAATTGATCTATCTATCTGTTGTTATTATCTGCTGTTATTATTTACTAGTAGCTCTTTAATACTGCATTGTCTGCTTATTGCATTTATCTTTCTGTTAACTGTTGTGTGTGTGTAAGTTATAAGAAATTTGCCTTTATTTCACTCCCAACTTTGCCTCCTTGATCTGAAACTGAATCAAACAGCCCAGTTGGCCTGTGATAAAATTGATATACTCACAGTGCCCAACTGGCCTGTGACAGCACTCTGCATTTATCTTTGTTTAACTGCATCTGGTTCTACTCTGTCCATCTTTCCAGCTTGTTCAGGTCTACTTGGATCTGTATCCTATCCCCTAGCATGACTGCTTTCCCCCATAACTTAGTATTGTCTGCAAACTTGACCAGCATGCTTTCCACATAGTGGAATATTGCTTGACAACAACATTGCGGAGTGGTTTGCAATATCTGTAGGAGTATGCCAAAGCTGTCTTCTCTCACCATGCTTATTTAATTTATATCTGGAACAAATCATGACATATGCCTTAGATAACTTCTCTCAAACAGTGTCAGTTGGAAGGCAAGAAATTAACATCCTTCGTTTTGCTGATGACATTGATCTAATAGTTAGAACTGCAGAAGAGCTTAAGGAAATAACAGAAAGGCTACACAAGGCTGCAAAGAGATATGGAATAGAAATTAGTGTGGAGAAGAGCAAAATAATGATAATATCGGCCAGTAGGAATTATGATGAATCAGTAAAAATGGGTAATGAGAAGCTAGAAAAAGTAACACACTTTAACCACCATGATGCAACTATCACAGAAGATGCTACATCCAAAAAGGAAGTAAAAACAAGAATAACTGCCACCATTGGATAACTAGCAAAGCTGATGAAAATCTGGACTAGTAGCAACATCACAATGAAAATGAAATTTCACCTACTATGTGCTGTTGTCATTTTAACATGACTTTATAGCTGCAAGACTGAAACATTCACTAGGGTACTGGGAAGACAAATTGTAACTGCTGAAATGTGGTAGTTTAGAAGATTTCTATGCATACCCTACACTGCACACAGAACAAATGAATCTATGAAAGATCAAATTGGAGAAGAAGTCTGTAAATATGAACCGTTATTTGAAATCATAAGAAATATGAAGCGGTTTGGACATGTAAGAAGAAGGCCCAGAACCCTTACCAACATCATCCTGTAAGGTTCTGTGGATGGATGAAGAAGAAAAGGAAAACCTAGAAGAAGCTGAAGCACCAACGTCAAAGACTGGCTGGGATTAAAACTGACTGATTGTACAAGGACTGCAAAAGACCAGGAAAAATGAAGAAAGTTATTACTACATCAAAGGTGCCCCAACAGTTCTTGTGGTCTCGGACTGACTTGACTTGAAAATAAGAGGCCCCCATGAACATTTTAATTGAAGTGGAGAGTATATGCCATCACTATATTTGTACTGTGAAAAAGAATATTTGTATATTGATATATATTTGTACACCAACTCAGCACAGCACATAGGTACAAATCTGTACCAGGTATGCCACAATGATATTCATTTGATAACTTACAGAGATTACATTATTAATGTAAGGGTTACTTTAGGATACATTTTTAATCACCTCATTTACACTTTGCTCACTATTTCATTTCTTTCTGGACACTTCTAACATTGCAAACTTCTGAGCAACTTCAAAATATGACTTCATGAAATCTCTTGTGATGAAATATGTGCTTTCTCCTTCCCAGTGTGAAATATACTCTTTTCTCTAGCTTACACTATTTAACTTGGCCTCAGTAGTTAATGCTGTAAGGACAACTCTAGAGGTTGACACCTCCAGATGTTAGAGGACTGTAAAAATCAATAGGTACTGAAAGGAGAGTCTTGCATTCCCATTGGGATCCTGCACTTGTTCCTAAGTTTGGAAAAATCAGAAAGAGCTTTAAAAAAAGTAACATTTGTACACAGAATCGTTAGAGGTTTGAATTAAGAATGTTGAGGCCTATGATTCCTGAAGTCATGGCAGCTCTAACATCTCAATGAAAGAGAGAAAAATGGATCTGCAATATTTTTAAATCTGCCACATTTTTGTTAATTAATTTCTGTGTAAATATTGTTATGGATCCAGAATTTACACCTGTGTTGGTCAAGGTTTTATCATAATTTACAAGGGATAAACTGCATAACTACATCATGGTTCTGCCACTGGTGAGTACTAAATGAATCAAATATTTATTCTAAAAACATTGATGTTACATTGCACCAACAATCAAGCTAGAAAGTCACATGAAAGGGGCAAAGAATAGGAGTTTTCTTTTACATTTGTGCTTGTAACACATATCCACAATCTCCAAGAACTTTAAATAACGTACTGTTTGACCAAATAAGAGCACCAAGAAGGAGCAAAGGAAACATATACATTAAAGAGATCTTTCCACATCTTTATCTTTAGGGGGTAAATAAAATTTTCTGGATGCGGCAAATATTCCAGGATCAAGTTTTGAAAGGAGAGGAAAGTTGCTCTGCTTGGAACAAAAGAAAGGACTTGCAGGAAACACAAAGGATAGGGACTTGCATGTTTGAGAAATAACCTGGGTTCTGCCAGTTATTTCCATTGTGATTGCCAGCAGAGTACTTAATCTCAAAGGGCACAGACAGAAGTGACAATGTTTGCTTGGTCTGGCCACAGAAAGCATTCTATAGCCATGACAAGGGTGACAGTCAGGAGATGTGGCTGCCCTGAAGTTCTACTTGGTAGTACAGTACAGTACTGAAGTACATTGCTGCAGACAGCTTAAAAAATGGCAATTGGGGTGAAAATCTGAACCCACATTGTATGAGGGGTCAGATGAAGATGTTTCATAAGATAGCATCTTTTGTAACTTCTGTCTGCTTTGCCTCCCAGCCTGTTGCTGTTCTTGGAATGGGAGGATGGAAAGGGAGTGGAGCGATCCATAGAGGTTAGGGACTGGATGGGACCTTATGAGATCATCAGGTCCAGCCCCCTGCTCTAGGCAAGAAAAACTGCTGGGGTCATATGACCCCAGCAAGGCGTGTGTCCAATAATCTTTTGAAGATCTCCAGGGTAGGTGACTGTACCACCTCTGTCTGTTCCAGACTCTGGACACTCGAACTGTAAATAACTTTGTCCTTATATTCAATCTGAAGTGATCTTCTAGCAGTTTATGTCCATTATTCCTTGTCTTCCCTGGGTACCTTGCAGATGCTCTATCAGCCCCGATGTTTGCCGGTTATATACCTATAGGCTGCCACCAAGTCCCCCCCTAAGTCTTCTCTTCTCCAGGCTGAACAGTCCCATGTCCCTCAGCCTCTCCTCATATGGCCTGTTCTCCAGACCCCTAATCATTTGGGTGGCCCTCCTTTGGACTCTTTCAAACTTCTTCACATTATGTTTGAAGTGTGGTGCCCAGAACTGGATGCAGTACTCCAGCTGCAACCTCACCAGTGCTGAGTAGAATGGGAGGATGATATCCTTAGTCTTGCTTGAGATGTATTGGTTGATGCGTGCCAGTGTGTTGTTCATTCTGCTGGCTATAGCATCCCATTGGTAACTCATACATTCTGTGGTCGATCATGATCCTCAGGTCTCTTTCAGTTGTGGTGCTAGCTCGTGTAGCACCACTGAGCCTGTAAGTACGTTACAGATTATTTCTCCCCAGATGGAGCACTTTACATTTCTCAGTGTTAAACATCATCAGGTTTTGATATGCGCACCTTATAATCCTGTCCAGGTCAGCCTGTCTCCTCAGTCTGTCCTCCAGTGTGACTTCACTCCCCAATAACTTGATGTCAACCATAAACTTTGCCACTACTCTTTTCACACCCATATCCAAATCATTGATGAATATGTTGAAAAGCATTGGTGTCAGTACTGAACCCTGAGGGATACTACTGGTCACTTCTTGCCATGCCAACTCAGTTCCATCTATTAACACTCTCTGGGTCCAACCTTGGAGCCAGTATCCTAACCACTGGAACGTTAAGTTGTTGAGGCTGCAATTTCTCAATTTTTTCATGAGGACATAAAAGAAGATTAGATTGGTCAGACATGACCTGCCTGCAACAAAGCCATATTGACTATCTTCTAGGAT